CCCCCCCCCCCCCCCAACCCCCCTGGCCCAGGTGGTCCATCTGAAGGACATCGTCTGCTACCTGTCCCTTCTGGAGAGGGGACGTGCTGAGGACAAGCTGGAGTGTAAGTAGGACCCTGGCCACGCCGCGTGGAGGGAGAGACTGGTGGCAGAGGGACACCTGTGGGGGCACAGCTTTGCTCTAATTCCCCGCAGCCTTGTATGGGCTTGGGTCACATCTCACCTGGGCTGAGCTGGCATGGCATTGCTCCTTGTCCCGGAGCCTGGGATGACCCGGGGCTGGGCTCTAACCGGCATCTGGCTTCTCTTCTCCCTCCAGTCATGTTTCGCCTCTATGATACCGATGGAAACGGCCTCCTGGACAGCTCGGTAAGCCTTCCCGTGGGAGACAAAGCCGGGGTTGTTTGGGGGCCAGAGACATGCAGGGCTCTGTTGGGATGTCAGCTCCCTGGGAAGGCATGCTGTGCTATGGGAAAGGGGGAGGAAGGCAGCAGCATTTGCTGTGGGGCTGAGGGAAAAACAGTCCACCCACCAACTAGGAAAAAAACCAAGTTTTCAGAAAAGGAAAAATCATGCACAAACCCCACACTGGGTTTTGTCCATGATTCTCTTTGTCCTTGGGGTATTTCCCTTGAAACCTGTTGCAAATACAAATTTCTTATCAGAGTACTTCTTCCAAGGGAAAACCCACTGCAGGTTTTTGGGCAGAGCAGAAAGCAGCATCCAGCGAGAAGCGGGGTGTCACTGGCCCCCAGTGTGGGTCGGGGGCCTGAGGTGGCCTTGGGCGTATCGGGACATAGACCTGATATGCCCATGGTTGTGGGGATGTGAGGCTGGGCACGCCGCTGGCACCCGAAGCTGTCCCTGAGTGCCTGGTGCCGTCTGTCCGTGCTCAGGAGCTGGATCGTATCATCAACCAGATGGTGCACGTGGCCGAGTACCTGGAGTGGGATTCCACCGAGCTGAAACCCGTGAGTGCCGGGGCTGGGGCGGCTGGGGGGACATCGCCGTGTCACCACATCTCCTCCCTCCTCCAGATCCTGAAAGCCATGATGGAGGAGATAGACTACGACCACGACGGGACTGTGACGCTGGAGGAGTGGATCCGGGGTGGCATGACCACCATCCCCTTACTGGTCCTCCTGGGGATGGAGACGGTGAGTGCCCACGCGAGGACCTGCTTCGGCCGCATCCAGCCCCGCTGCCCGCTCCGGCAGAAAGCCCGGGGCTGGCGGCAGCAGGAGAGGAGGGTGGGTGAGGACCACGGGAGGGCACCCTACCCCCAGCAACACGCCGCATGCCCGTCCGTCCTGCACCGCACAGCACCATGCCAGCCCCTGCAGACACCCCCACCCTGCCTCTGCTGACCAGCCTGCGCCCCCCCAAATCTCCACGAGCTCAGCTTTGAGCTGCGATCGTTGCCAAGCTGCCGTGCCCGAGCAGGCTGGGCGCTGCCTGGGATCGTAGCACACCCCAGTTCGATGAATACTTAAAACATAAGATGCACACCTAAAACGCCAGCTCGTCTCCTGGGTGAGCTTCAAAGAGCAGCTGTGGGGTGGTTGGGGATACCCCTCCCCTTATTTCTCTCTGTTGTTTTTTCATCCTTATGGACTTCGATTCATTGAGGTGCATCCCTAGGTGATAGTTTGCAGGGAAAATCCAGGTTTTTGCTCCCCAGTGCTCATCCTCGTGTTTGCTTCCCACGGAGAGGTGAGGGCCAGGCCTCCTGGGGGGAAAATTCAAGAAAATGGTGAATTTTAAGTGCAAAGCACTCCTGCCTGGACCCAGATGTAAGGGGCTCACTTTGGTCATGCCATGGTGCTGGTGCCCTGGGCTGAGATGTGGAGTCACTTTCCTTCCATCAGCTCCGGCTGTGCCCAGGGGCCATGGGGAGCCGGAGCTCGGTGCCAGGGGTTGTGCCCCAGGAGCAGGAGGATGTGGCAGCAGGGATGCTCAGAGGAACACCAGGGAGAAGGGGAGCAGAGGGAGCCCATGGTCCTGCTGACCCCTCTCGCCCTCCACCCTCCTGCCCTGCAGAACGTGAAGGACGATGGGCAGCACGCCTGGAGGCTGAAGCATTTCAAGAAACCTGCCTACTGCAACTTCTGCCGCACCATGCTGCTGGGGGTCCGCAAGCAGGGCCTCTGCTGCTCCTGTGAGTCGTGGACCCGTGCTGGACCCCAAGGGGCAGCTCCCACCCCATCCCAGTGTCCCGGTGGGGGTGGGACTGGTCTCCATCAGTGTTGAGTCCTGTGGGTGCTGCAGGGTGAGTGGGGAAAGGGCAGTGCCTGTGCCGGGGGGTGATACTCACCCACCTTCTTCTCTCCTGGCAGTTTGCAAGTACACTGTCCATGAGAGGTGTGTGTCCAAAGATATCGCCTCCTGCATCAGCACCTACATGAAATCCAAGAGAAACGCAAGCGTGAGTAGGCAGCTGACGTGTTTCCAAGCTGGTGTGTCTCCTGTGGAGCCCCCCCCAGAGGCAGCACCACCGGCAGCTGCTGGCGCCTCAGTCTCCTGCCCTGGTCCCCCATGTCTTTTTCCTCTGGGATTTGCCCCTCGGGTCCTGGGCAGCAGCACGTGGGTATTCCCAGCATCCAGAGCCCAGCAGGGTGGGCCCTGTCCCCAGCTCCTCAGGACCCACAGGACCCCTGTCCCCAGGGTTTGCCATGGCTCTGGGTGGGAGACGGGTGTCTCTGATGTTCTGCACAGAGCAGCAGGGAGGGAAGGTGGCTGGTTTGGATCAGTCAGCATCCCTGCGTGATGGGCCGCTCTCCAAAATCCCAGCGGCAGCCCTTAGCGGAGAGGCAATGCCTGTGGTTGGTGGGTGCTGCACCTGCAGTGCCACCCCCCCACCCCCTCCCTGTGCCTTGCAGGTGATGCAGCACACCTGGATTGAGGGCAATTCCCCCGTCAAGTGTGACAGATGCCACAAGAGCATCAAGTGCTACCAGGGCATCACTGGCCTGCACTGCGTCTGGTGCCAAGTCACCGTGAGTACCTGGGCGCGAGGGGTCTGGGGTGCACCCTGCAGTGTCCTGGGGGTGCTCACAAATGGCTGGGTGTCCCCTGCCCAACATCTATTCCTCCTACCCCCTCCAGCTCCACAACAAATGTGCCTCCCATGTGAAGCCAGAGTGCGACGGGGGCCTGCTGCGGGACCACATCTTGCTGCCTTCCTACATCTGCCCCGTCGTCCTGGTAAGTGACCCCTCCTTGCTGCCAGGTGGCAGGGACCTGGCCAGGCATCACCACA